TTTACTCAAAAAAAAAAAAAAAAAAAAAAAAGAAAGAAAAGAGAAAAAGACGAAGGCCCCGATTAGCTCAGGAGGTGGAAAACTTTAGTATTAGTTTGTTGCTCAAACAAGTAACTATAACCGCGCACATCGATTACGGGAAGGCTCAAGTTCTTGACGTAGGAAGGATTTTTATTTTATTTTAATAAAATCGTAATCTGTGTATAGAGTATATAAATTATAATCTGTGTAAAGAGTATATAAATTATAACGCAGATATTTCTTAGAAAAAAAATATATTTCTGATACTAGTAGCTTTAAGTCTTTAATATTTTGAAATTAGTCCCTCAAATCATGAAACTTCATATTGGGTCCCCTAATTATTATAGATTGTTTGAAATGAATCCCTATCAAAATATTGGACTAATATCAGAAAAATACAGAAAGTTGTCGACCAAGAGTTTACCCTGATAAAAAAAAAAATCCATAAGAACCCAAAATATGGGACCAATAGGGGGACACGTGAAGTGTCCCACTCCTATTGAATAATGAGCTGACCATTATTAATGATAGCCAGCTCATTATTTAATAGGAGGGGGACACCTCACTTGTCCTGTTGGTCCCATATTTTTGGTTCATGTAACAAAGCTTAAAAAAAAAAAAAAACAAATAACCTCCCCCTTGCCACCTCATCACTAAACTTTCGAACTTCTCCCTCTCGCTTCAAAGCCCAAAACCCAGCTTGCAGCTGATGCACATCCCTTCCCTCGCACACTCACTATGCCAACCTCCTCCACCACCTCACCTCCCTCCCCCTCACCTCCTCCTCCTCCTCCTCCCTCCTCCGCCTCCGCTCCGTCCACGCCCACATCCTCACCTCCGCTTCATACCCGGGCCCACATCCTGCAACCGCCTCCTCCACCTCTACACCCTCCTCTCGACCTCCCTCCGCCCTCCTCCTCTTCGACCCCACCTCCCCGACATCATCTCCCGAACCACCCTCCTCTCGGCCCACTCCAACTCCGGCAACCTCCCCTCGCCCGCCAGCTGTTCGACCAAACTCCCTCGAAACCGGCGATCGCCGTCTTCTACAACGCCATGATCTCCGCCTATTCCCGTGCCTCCGATGGCCTCCCCGCCCTCGAAGTATTCCGCGGCATGATGCGGTCGCGCTCTACGTCAACTAGACCGGATAACTACACTTTTACCGGAGTTCTTAGTGCTGCGGCGGGCATTTTGGGGATCAACGTGGTTATTTCTAGCCATCTACATTGTGCTGTTATCAAGTCCGGGACGGGGAATGTCGTGTCCGTGTTAAACGCGCTTATTGCACTATATTTTAAGTGCGATGAGGATGAGGCCATGGGTTATGTGAGACGGGTTTTTGATGAGATGGGCGAGAGAGATGAGCTGACTTGGACTACGATGGTTGTTGGGCTTGTTAGGAGAGGGGACGTGTGCGCTGCACGTCATGTTTTTGATGAGATGGGGGGCAAGTTTGATGTGGTGTGGAATGCGATGATTTCTGGGTATGTTCACCATGGGCTTTTTGACGAGGCGTTTGATTTGTTTAGAGGGATGATTTTGTTGGGGATCAACCTCGATGAATTTACTTATACTAGTGTTCTCAGTGCTTGTGCCAACTCGGGGAGGTTCAAAGATGGGAAGGCGGTCCATGCCCGTCTCGTTCGTTTTGGACCTGATTTTGATCCGGATGCTTCTTTGCCAGTCGAGAATGTGTTGGTTACGATGTACTCCAAATGTGGGAAGGTCGATGTTGCGAGAAGGATTTTCCATGAGATCAGAAAGAAGGATGGCGTCTCTTGGAATGCCATTTTGTCGGGGTATTTGGACTCAGAGAGGATCGAGGATGCCCTTGAGGTCTTCAATAAGATGCCACATAAGAACCAGTTGACATGGATGGTTATGGTTTCAGGGTTTGTCCACAATGGACTCCCTGAAGAAGGGCTTAAACTATTCAATTGGATGAGGTTCGAAGGTGCCAAGCCGTGTGATTATACTTATGCAGGAACTATCTCTGCTTGTGCTGAGCTCGGGGCATTAAAGCACGGCAGGCAGCTCCATGCACAACTAATCCAAAATATGTACGCGAAGTGTGGAGCTGTGGAGGATGCACACTTAGTGTTTCTTGTGATGCCCAATGCGGATGCTGTATCTTGGAATGCAATGATTGCTGCCCTTGGGCAGCATGGTCACGGAACCGAGGCGATCCAGCTCTTTGATGACATGATCAAAGAAGGTATAACCCCAGATCGGATCTCTTTCCTCACGATCTTGTCTGCTTGTAGTCATGCTGGCTTGGTGGACAAAGGTTTACAATTCTTTGAATCTATGACACGTGACTATGGTATAAGTCCTGGGGAAGATCACTACGAAAGGTTGATTGATTTGCTAGGCCGAGCTGGGCAAATAGAAGAAGCTAGAAATGTGATAGAATCGATGCCATTTGAGCCGGGACCTCCTATTTGGGAAGCAATTCTCTCTGGATGTCGAATTCATGGGAATATGGATCTTGCTGTCCAAGCAGCAGATAAGCTTTTTGAGATGATCCCAAAGAATGATGGAACATATGTTCTCTTAGCCAATACTTTTGCAGCTGTTGGGCGTTGGCAAGATTCTGCCACGGTTAGGAAACTGATGAAGGACCGGGGAGTGAGGAAGGAGCCAGGATGTAGCTGGATTGAAGTCGAAAGTAAGGTTCATGTTTTCGTTGTTAATGATACGAGACATCCGGAAGTGGAAAAAGTGTGCAATTTCCTCAACATGATTGGAGCTAAGATGAGGAAGTTGGGATATGTCCCAGATACTAAGTTTGTGTTGCAGGACGTGGAGTCTGAGCACAAAGAGTACGTGTTATCGGCTCACAGTGAGAAATTGGCTGTTGGGTTTGGCCTTTTGAAGTTACCTGTTGGTACTCCGGTCAGGGTTATGAAGAACTTGAGGATTTGTGGGGATTGCCATGCTGCAATCATGTTCATGTCGAAGGCAGTTGGAAGAGAGATCATTGTAAGAGATGGGAAGAGATTTCACCATTTTAGGGATGGGGAATGTACATGTGGGAATTACTGGTGAAATGGTTTAAATTTCTAGCCAACAGAAATTGTAGCGCTCTTGTTCCCTCCATCTCCTTTAGCCTCTGCCGCCATCTCCTGGTAGCGTTCAGGCTAATCCTTCAAATCAATCAAGGTACTCTTTTTTTTCTCCACATAAAACTCTCTCTTTATTTTGAAAGCCTAGGTTAGTTTTTATGCATATACTTCAATTGATTGGGGGGAATTACATGCAAAATATCGGGTAACTTGTGTTCCCTTTTGTTGAAACTTTATTCTCTCTCTTCTTAAGTCGGACAAGGACTATAAATTGAACTCAGTTGCCTCAGTTTGTTGGCAAATTTTTACCACCTAGATGGGAATGCCCCCCACAAGTTTAAGATTAAATTTTAGTTTAATATGCAAAATGAAGATGTTGTTAAGTCCCCAATCGAAGAGTGCTGCTACGGGAACCCAAAATATGGGACCAAGGGAGGGGACAGGTGAGGTGTCCCCTCCCTATTGCATAATGAGTTGGCATGAGTTGGCATGACCAACTCATTATGCAATAGGGAGGAGACACCTCACCTGTCCCCTCCATTGGTCCCATATTTTGGGTCCTTAAATCATTTTCCCCAATCGAATGTAGTTAGACATATAGTGAACTGTGTCTTGAACCGGTACCTTACTAACAGTCCATAAATCACTTGTATAATAATAATAAAAAAACCTAGACCCCGAAAACTGTCTCCACCTCCAGCAAGTTCTCCACACGACAATGCTACCTCTTGGGCTTCCTCATTGCTGGCAGCAGTAGCGTCGAACAGCAGGTATACTTTCAATTTCTTCCTTTTTTTTCTTCTAATTTTCTCCTTAGACGTCTCTCAGTTACCTTCAGTATACTACTTTTTCTTTCGGTTTGAACTTTGATGAGATTTTTTTTGGAGTTCTGTATAACTAAAGTGAATGGAGAAAACCCTGATTTATTGATGAGATAACATGGGCTTATATAGGCCCCTACAAAACACATCTTACAAATAACTCCCTAACTATATTAATATGTCAACACTCCTCCTCAAGATGTGCGAAAGATATCCACTAAGCCCATCTTGTTACATCCTCTAATCATATCTACTGAGCTAAGTCCCTTAGTTAGACAATCTGCTGCCTGATCCTTAGTTAAAACATGACTTAACTCCAGTAGTCCATTGTCCAACTTCTCTTTGATGAAGAATCTATCGATCTCGATGTGTTTGGTTCTATCATGCTGCACTGGGTTATTGGCGATACTGATGGCTGACTTGTTATCACACCACAGCTTCATCTTTGCTCCTTGATTCGGCTTCAGCTCCACCAGCATACTCTTTAACCACAACAACTCCGCAACTCCCAATGTCATAACTCTATACTCTGCTTCAGCTGTTGATCTCGCCATCACTGACTGCTTCTTGCTCTTCCACGAGACTAAGTTGCCTCCTATAAAGATACAATATCCTGAGGTAGACCTCCTGTCATCAGCACAGCTAGCCCAATCAGAGTCACAGTAACCCTCAATGCTCATATGTTCATTCTTCCTGAATATCAGCCCTTTTTCCGGGGGCACTCTTCAAATACCTCAGAATCTGGTACACTGCGTTCATATGACCATTCCTCGGATCATGCATGTAGCGACTCACCACGCTCACTGCAAAAGAGATATCGGGACGTGTGTGACTCAGATAGATCAACCTGTCCACCAATCTCTGGTATCTGTCACGATCATCTGGTTCTCCAGCCTCAGCACCCAGCTTGAACTTCTGGTCAATCGGTGTAGTTGCAGGTTTGCACCCTAACATCCTTGTCTCCTTGAGAAAATCCAGCGCATACTTCTTCTGGGATAGGACAATCCCCTCCGCTCCTCGAGCTATCTCTATTCTAAGAAAGTATCGAAGCAAGCCAAGATCTTTCACCTCGAATTCCTTACCCAGTCTCATTTTGAGTTGGACAATCTCCTTCTCATCATCCCCTGTAATAATCATATCATCCACATATACCGCAAGCATGGTAATGTAGCCTCCACTCCGTCGAAAGAACACGGTATGATCGGCGTTAATCTGTTGGTACCCCATACCTATCATAGCCCTTCTGAATCTGTCGAACCAAAGCACGTGGAGACTGTTTCAGCCCATAGAGAGACTTCTTCAATCTGCAGACCTTGCCCACTGTCTGATCTATGTCGAATCCTGATGGTATTTTCATGTATACCTCTTCCACTAGATCTCCATGAAGAAATACATTCTTCACATCTAGTTAGTGTAGTTTCCATCCACCATTTACTGCCAGAGATATCAAGGTCCTAACAGTGCACATCTTCGCCACCGGTGTAAAGGTCTCATCATAGTCGATTTCATATGTCTGACTGTACCCTTTTGTCACTAGACGAGCCTTATAGCGCTTAACATGTCCATCTGGATTCTGCTTCATAGTAAAGACCTACTTATATCTAACTGCTCTCTTCCCTACTGGTAGTTTTACTAACTCCCAAGTACGGTTCTTCTTAAGAGCCTCTAGCTCCTCGTGCATAGCCGCTTTCCACTTTGGGTTCTTCTTAGCAACCTACCAGTTATTAGGTACAGTAACAGAGTCCAATGATGCAATGAATGCTCCATATACAAGGTGTATGTTAGAATATGATACAACTGGGCAAGATCCCAACCATATCTATCGGGAGGATTTCCTGCGTTGCTGCGAGTAGTCCTCCGTACTGATATTGGTGTAGGATGAGTAAGGAGAGGAATGATATCATCTTGAGAGGAATCTGGTGGTGGTGTAGGTGTCTCAGGAATCGGGACAGGCGTTGGCAAGGGACTTGGCACCAGTGACACTGTAGGTACTGTTTCCGCAATTTGCTTCCCCTTTCTACTATAGGTAAGTAGCTCCTCCTGAACCGTGGGCCTAGCACCTCTTGTCTTATTTTTCTCTTCTTCTTTATTCTCCTGCTCCTCCTCAACCAATTCTCCCTCCCAAGGAATCGATACAGAAATTGATTTTTCCACATTGTTCACCGATCTCTCACCATTCTCCCCCTCTCGCCTCATACTTTCAGTATCGGGCGAGTTACCAACGGATGAAGTTACTTTCCGGGTGTAATATGGCTCGAGTTCTCGAAAGTGCACATCCATGCTCATAAACAGTCTCTTCTCCACCGGGCTCCAGCAAATATACCCCTTCTGAGTAGCAGAATATCCCACAAAGATGCACTTCATCGTTCTAGGGGCAAGCTTCCCGACGGATGGCCTGTTGTCCTTCACAAAGCACACACAGCCAAACACCTTGAGTGAAAGAAGCCCACCATTATCTCCCTTCAACGTCTCACAAGGAGATTTCCAATCCAGCACTCTAGAGGGCATTCTGTTGATCAGCGCTGCTGCGGTCAGCACTGCTTGCCCCCACAATGTTTCTGGCACATTCATGGAGATCATCATACTTCTAACAACCTCTAAAAGATGTCTGTTCTTCCTTTCTGCTACTCCATTCTGAGCTGGTGTATATGGACATGTAGTCTGGTGCTGTATTCCATGAGCTGACAAGTATTCTTCAAGTGCTCTGTTGGTATACTCTGTCCCATTATCAGACCTCAATACCTTCACCACTACTCCGTATTGAGTCTGAATATACCTATGAAAGTTTTGGAAGCAACCAAACACTTCACTCTTATTTTTCATCAAGTATAACCAAGTAACGCGAGAGAAGCAATCAATGAAGGTAACAAAATACTTGTATCCATTCATAAAACTTGTGGAATAATGCCCCCAAACATCTGAATGTATTAGGTCAAATGCATGAGAACTCCTTTGACCAGAACTAACATAAGAGCTTTTAGTAAGCTTTTCAAACTCACATGCATCGCACACAAGTTTCTGTTTATTTGCTTTTTCAAATAAAGATGGATACAACCTACTTAAAACACTAAAGGATGAATGTCCCAAACGCTGGTGATGAAGCATCAACTCACTCTCAGCACTCATCTCAGATCCTACTCCTGCTCTCTCTACGATTAATACTAACACTGAATCCAACCCTTCACGATTCAAGTACCACAGTCCACTACTCCATGTGCCAGTCCCAAGTCGTCGTCCCGTTCCCTTCTCCTGAAAGATCACCTTGATAATGTTAAAAGAAACAATGCATTTTAGTTGGAGTATGATAGAACTAATGGATAAAAGATTGACTGAAAAGGAAGGAGCATGCAAAACATTGGACAAAGTTATCGAATTTCTACAATTGACAGTACCCTTACCAACCACCGACTGAAATGTACCATCAGCTGTTTGGATACTATCAGTCCATGCTAGGTGAGTATATGATGAGAACTCACTAGCATTACCTGTCATATGTCGATACGCACCATAGTCGACTATCCATTCTGATGACTTATCGGGGGACATAGAAACAAGAGCATGTATGTCATCAGTACCTTTGGTCGGATGAGCATAAGTAGCAGTGTTGCCTCTAACGAAGAATGAAGTAGATGCCTCCCCTGTCCCACTCCTCCTGTCTCCATCTCCTGCTACTCTCTGCTTCTTCCTGAGTATCTCCAGAAGCGCATGATCTTCCTCAGTAAAGACCACCTCAGGTGCTTCCTCTCCCTTTACTACAATTAGATTCGCCCGATTGCCTGCTCCTCTTCCACCTCGTCGACCCCCACGGCCACGACCACTACCTCCAAACTATCCATGACCACTCGAATCTTCTTCCTTGGGTGGCTTGGTACAAGCATGCCTTAAATAACCCACTTCATCGTAGTTATAGTACTGTCAAGTCTCCCCCTTGGATCCAGAGTTGGAGGCTGCCAGTGCTGACTTCACCACAGAAAGTCCGCCTGTCCCCGCCTGCAGCCTAGTACGTGTCTCCTCCTGGATCATGGCCGAGCAGAAAGTCCGCCTGTCCCCGCCTGCAGCCTAGTACGTGTCTCCTCCTGGATCATGGCCGAGCCTGTCTCCTCAAGTGTGGGAATCTTAGCTGAGCTAGCAGCAATGCAGTCCTCTGACCAAATTCCGATGCCAGCCCCTTGAGGAACACCATTGTCCTCTCCTGTAGAAAGGCCTCTCGCTCCTTACACTCCGGGTCCTTACAGCTCGCCCGAGACAAGAAGTGATCATAATCTATCCACAGACGCTCCAGCTCTGCGGCATACCCTTGGACAGTCCTCTCTCCCAGAACTGTGGCGTCGATTTCTCCCTTGATCTGGAACACCCTCAGGTTATTCCCCACCCCATCATAGATCATCCTCAACTTCTCCTAGACATCCATCACCTTCCCGATGCCATATACTATGGCGGCGATCGACTGACCCAATGAGTTGAGGAGCCAGATGTACACCAACATATGAGTGGACTTCCACTCATCTCTTCCAGCTGAGCCCTCAGTCGGCTCTATCGTCTCTCCTGTCAAGTACCCTTCCAGGTTCGTCCTTGTAAGGGTGTATCTTACCCGTCGTGATCAACTTAGGTAAGTAGCTGGTCCATCAAACTTCAGATCGATGGGTGGAAGCTCTAATTTTTTCGATGGTCTTGTCGCACTCTCACCAGCCGACAACTTCATCAACTGCATCAAAGTTGAGACCTCCGCGGGGTTCAACTTCTTGATGATCTCCTCCATCGATCAGGCTTTAGATCAACATCAAAGTTGAGACCTCCGCGGGGTTCAACTTCTTGATGATCTCCTCCATCGATCAGGCTTTAGATCAACCACCTGTTCTCCTTCTCTTCAAACCCTTGTTGTGCGCAGTGAGAATTTTGACAGCACTTCTGCTGCACAACAAGAGTAAGATCTCAACTAAATTCTTATTTCTCAAAGAAAACAAGAATCGACAGTGATATATCTCAACACCGTGAGATATATACTCTTCCTCTCATTAGTTCTAAGACTGACATGTCGAGGTAATCCAACAAGTTACACATCCTCTCATCAGTTCTATAATTGATATGTCGAGGGAATCCAACAAGCTACACATCATCGGCAGCGATGCGCGCGCGGGTGCGGCCCCTCTTGTCCCGGTGTGGCGCAGCGCCGGTGCAATGTGGGGCAGTGGTGTGTTGCGCCGGCTAGGTTTCGGAGGGGCAGCAGGTGCAAGTGCCTGGCGCTGTGGCCGTGCAGGTGGCAGCGGGCAGCGGCCGTGCAGGTGCGGTTCGATGGGTTCGCGGGCCTTCGCCGTGAGGCAATAGGTTAGCCGGGTGCAAGCTGCGGTTATCGGTGGCCGTAGCGGTAGCAGCGCTGCAGCCGTGCGACAAGTAGTGGTAGCGCGTTAGTGGGTGGTTGCTTTCGACACGCTCAGTGACATGGTTGGCTCGGCAGCTGGGGCTTTATTGGCCGGATTCTAGTTTGCGGATCTGTTTGTTAGTGGTGCTGCCTGGGCTTCACGAATGCCGATCTTGGTGTGTGACGCTGAGCAGCGCATGTTGCGCCCCGAAGGCGGAGGTATGCGGTAGAGGCAGACGACTCTAGCGTGCGGACGAGGTCTCGTGACGGCGAGTGAGTGCTGTGGAGGACGGCTACTGGCTCTGATACCATAAAGTGAATGGAGAAAACCCTAATTTATTGATGAGATAACATGGGCTTATATAGGCCTCTACAAAACACATCTTACAAATAACTCTCTAACTATATTAATATGTCAACAATAACTTTAGTGTTTTAAGGGTGGAGTGTTTTGATTGGGTTCTCTATAACTTGTAGTGTTTCCTTGGACCTTTATTTCCTCGGCGTCTCTTCTGCTATGAACCACTTAAGCCCCACGAAGCCTAAGCAGTGCCTCACTGCATTGCACCGCTTCCTTTCACTTTCCGCTCTCTGCAAGCTTGATGCATAATCTAATAACTTTGAGCCAAGAATTTCGTTCATTAGTATTATTAATCTAAGCTCTGAAATGTTAATTGGATTCAATTGCAAAGATATAGAGTGACATATTTGTACTGGCTTCAGACCCTTTCTGGTATGCTTGAATCATTTCCGTCTTCAAAACTCAATTCAAGGAATCTGCAATGTTCTCTGAAGATTAGACATCAATCGCTGGGAGATGATTCTTTCTCCTGTCTACTCATTCAAATAGCCGTGCTTAATCACTAGTAGAAAATTAAGCATCACAGACGGACGGAATTTCTGGTCTTTGTTATGCCCAAACATGAAATTCTGTCTTTAAAAGTCCATCTGCATTATGATATTTTCCAGCCAGGTTTTGTACCCATGCTGACGGGATAAATTTCATAGCCCTAACCGACCATTTTAATCTAGACAGATGTTCCGTCCTCAATGTTAAAAAGGAAAATTTCATATCCCTAACCGACCATTTTAATCCCCTGATCCTGCCCTAAAACACCTCCCTCCATATGAGTTTACTACTCCTAATCGCGCCTCCATATATTAGATGCAATATGAGTGACTAGAATCTGGTTTTGACACGAAGCGTGGTTACTATCATTTGTTATCAAGAGGCTACTTTCGAAATTGAAATCATTTGTTTATATTAACGACACGAAATGCGTCTACGATCACATCCAACTTTTATATATTATAGGAAAATAGGAGAGATTAGCTGCACTCAATGACATTAAGTGTGATATTATCTTATTTATTGAATAAATTGAATAATTTATTTTTTATCTAATCAAGCAGCCCAACAACTATAGCTCCTTTGAGGATTCCCTGTACCGCAAATCTCAGGTTAACTAGGTCATTGGTTAGTGTATTTATCTCCTAATTGGACCTTTATACCTATGTTTTAGTTTGCTTGAATGACTGGTCATGTAATTAAAAAACTAAGTGGATTACTAGTCACTTTTAACATTTTTTTATCAATGTAAGTTGTACATTTTTATTCATTTTTAAGCAATACAGCTTACTCAACGTCACAACTTAATATTTTCAAGAATAAAATGTCAAATGCAATATAGTTATCCAATACAAGTTGCCTGACATATCACAAGTTTTCATTTCAAGTGATCAAGATATTAAACATATGAATAACTTTGTTATGTCAACTGGTCAAGACTTTTTTATGTCACGTCATTGAAAACCATCATTTCAATTGACGGAAAGCATTAGAAGTGATTAATGATCCAATTAGTATTTAATTACATGATTAGTTATCCAAGCAATTAAAACATAGATGTGATTGACCAATTATGTAATAAATACAGTGATCAATGATCCAATTAACCATCTCTACGATCAACTCTGATAACTGGTAGCTTGGATAAGAGTTCTGAAGGTACACAAAAACAACATGGTTAAACTCGACACTTTTTTATAAATTTTTCCATTTCTCAAAGTACAGTTATTTTTTTTATAAAAAATGTGCTCCACGATCTATCAAGGTATAGACAGATTAATCAATCATGAGGTATTCTTGCAACATTAATGTGAATCTTATATTTTATGTATCCAAGTTTTTGGTTTCTGTTCACCTTCATCCATGCTTATTGCCATTTTCTGGACTATATTTTGCAGATTTCAAGTATGTTTTGTAAAGACACAAGAAATGTTTTGTTTACAAGAAAACAATGTACCCTATCCAGAAGGTATGCCCTCAGTATTGTGTTGTAATATTGTTGTTAAGGGAGCACACATGGTTTTTCACCCTCATTTTGCTAATGCTCTTCTTTAATAACTTGGACTTTGTTTTTGCATAAAAAAGTTGATTATTTCTGTTTAAAACTTTGATAAATAAATAAATGAGATTGCTACATTGTAAGCTGTGATTTACTCTTGGTACTTTGCATTTGAGGTTGACCTGCAAGACACTGTGGCCGAATTGACTCAACAATGTGAAAGAAATATAGTAGCCTTAGTACGTAAGACGGCAAGAGTTGCTATGGCTATCGTTCAAAGGAGTGAAGCATCCACTTGGATCCCCTAAAGCTCAAATTCATGCACGTCCTGCGGTTATAGGTACTGTGTTTTCTTACAGCAATGTTCTGAATTTTCTTTTTACAGTTTTCAGTTTGATATTATTGCAGCTGAGGCTTCACAGAAGATGTTTATACAAAGTGGATAGTAATACAGTACTATGTAAGCACAGTAGAGATATTGAACAACACACAGGGATTTGACGTTGTTTGGTCAGTATGACCTACGTTCACAAGCGAGAACAATAGAGGAATTCACTAATCATAGAAGAGAAGATTACAAAAAAGATTATTATCTAATCTTACTTAACATCACCAGATAATCATACAAAGAAAGAAAATAACTCTCTCTGTCTCATTCTTTTCTCTCTAACTCCTCTCTTTCTTTTTCTCTGCCCCGATAATCTTTCACCATTGATGCAATTTATAGCCTCTCAATACTGTTGATGGAATGATAAATCTCCGTCAGTGAATAGATAGGCTAATTAATGATGAATAGATTGGCTATGATGAGAATTATGAGGCAAGTCACAATTGTTGACAATTAAGGCAATCATAATCACATTTTCACGTGGCCAAAGAGGCACTTTCTTTGACACTTAATGCATATGGATGGCCATAATCTTGGAATTGGCGGCCGCATTTGCTGATCTTATTCAAGTCACTCTCGTAGGTGTGTTGTTGAATAGAAAACAATTTATATATGTCGATGTATACTTGTGCTTTCTAGAATTTTTTTCCATGCTTGGTTAGGCCAAAAGCTTTATCATATCTTTGTTTACCACCGTCCGTCCATAACCAGTAAAGGCCTATTTGGTTAAATTTTTTAAAACGCATTGTTGCTACAGTATGGTGGAATTGGGTGGTTCAGTTGTGCCTGACTGCTACATCAGTTGTGCCTGACTGCTACAGTAACACAACCCCATTCACTAACTTTTCGCTGGGAATTGCTGAGGGTCTGCCAACTCAGCTACAATACACGACCATTTTAACCAAACAAACAAAGGAGTTGATTGTAATACTGTGGCGCCTGACACCTACAATATTGTTGCGCGTCGGCGGAAGCGTGCGTACAAACCAAACGAGTCGGCGAGCAACGGGAGGAGAACAACCAACGAGTACAATTCACAAAAGAAAAGCTGAAATCACACACAAACATAGATATTTACGTGGTTCGGCAAATTGCCTACGTCCACGGGGAGAGGATGAGGAGATTTCACTATATAGAGGAGAAAACAACGGGTTACAACTCTCACAAACGCTCAAAATAACCCTAACCAAAGATCTTTCAATCCCTCACAATAATCTCCCTCTCAAAGTGTTCAAAACAATCAATAATCTCTGATTACAACTCTCCTATAAATCCTAGAAATCGCATCTCTCTCTCTCTCTCTCTTGTGTGGTGTGTGTACACAGCCACACACACACACACACACACAGCACACACCACACATATTATATATATATAATATATATATATATATATATATTATGCAATTATATTATATATATTATATATATATATATATATATACTATAGTATATATATATATAAAATATATATCATATATATAATATATATATATATATATATATATATATATATATATATATATATACATATGTTATATAATATATATAATGTTATATATATATATACTATATATTAATTATATATATATATATATATATATTATATATATATATATATATTATATAATATATATACTATATGATGATATACTATATATATATATATATATATATATATTAATATAGATATATATAATATATATATGTCGTAGCCCTGGTGTGGTGTGGTGTCGTGTTACTCGTGTGTATACATATGTGTCATGTGAATACATATATATTATATAATAATATATTGTAGTTATATATATATATAATATATAGTATATATATTATATTATATAGTATATATATATATATATATATATATATATATACACACACACACACACGTGTGTGTGTATGTGTGTGTGCGTGTGTGTGTGTGTGTATACATCAGTGATCATGGCAGAGACAAGATGGAAGCTAAGTCACTGAAGTGTACATTCATTGGGTACGACATTAATGAGTTCGGGTATTGTCTTTAGGATGAGAAGAACATGAAAATCATCAGGAACCGAGACGTCATATTTAATGAGGAGGTGATGTACAAGGACAGGAAAAATGCCAAGACGGGTCAAAGTAGTGGGAGCAACACTACAGATGCAGGTGCATCTGAGTACATGGATTTGGAGGAACTTCCAGATGAGGGAGACAATGTCAATTCTGACCGAAGAATGGAGGAGACTTCAGGTGCAGAACCGACTACCCAGGGCAAGGAGCTTAGGAGGTCATCTAGGATACCCAAACCGAATCCTAGATATCTCTCATCACTAGACTACCTACTTTTGACAGATAGCGGAGAAGCAGAATGCTATGAGGAGGCTATACAAGTGAGTGAATCTCAGCAGTGGGAGCATATAATGCAAGAAGAGATAGATTCTCTCCACTCTAATGAGACATGGGAGTTAGCCCCGCTACTTGCACAGAAAAAAGCTTTACATAACAAGTGGGTCTACCGGGTCAAGCAGGAGAGTGATGGAAGAAAGAGATACAATGCCAAATTAGTCGTGAAGGGGTTCCAACAACGGGAAGGAGTGGATTATACGGAGATATTTTCCCCCATTGTGAAGCTTACAACCATCAGGGTGGTGCTAAGTTTGGTAGCTGCTAAAAATATCTACCTTGAGCAGTTAGATGTGAAGATTGTATTTCTTCATGGTGACTTAGATGAAAAAATCTACATGAAGTAACCTGTTGGCTTCATGAGGAAGGAAAGGAAGAGATGATGTGTAGTCTCAAGAAGAGTTTATACGGATTGAAACAGGCCCCAAGACAGTAGTATAAAAAGTTTGATAACTTCATACAGTACAATGGCTATAGCAGATGTAATTCAGATCATTGCTGTTACTTCAAGAGGTTCGAGTCCAGCTATATTGTGTTATTGTTGTATGTTGATGACATGTTAGTTGCAGGACCGTGTTTGCAGGAGATAAACAAGCTGAATAAGCAGTTAGCATAGGAGTTTGCCATGAAGGATCAGGGTGTAGCGAAGCAGGTTCTTGGGATGCGGATCAGTCAAGATGCGGCTGAGGGGACGCTGGAGTTGAGTCAGTCTGAATACATTGAGAAAGTACTTCAGAGAATCAACATGCAGAATGCTAAGGTTGTTAGCATGCCCCTTAGAAGCCAGCTCAAGTTATCTGGAGAACAATCGCCCAAGACTGATGCAGAGAAGGAGCACATGAGAAAGGTGCATTATTCATCAGTCCTTGGCAGTCTGATGTACACAATGGTTTGCACGAGGTCGGATATTACCCATGCAGTGAGAGTTGTGAGCAGGTTTGTAAGTAATCCAGGGAAGCATCATTAGAAGGCCGTAAAGTGGAGCTGGGTCTTTTTGCAGAAGATTATGACGTTGTCCATAACTGAGGCAGAGTATATCGCAGTAACTGTTAGCCCTTATGTTTTGATGATGTCTTACAACCACCATTATCGGTACTAATGGCTTATTGAGTGCAAATGTAGTAAATCCGTTTATCAAGCTTGTTAGTGCCATTAATGGAGGATGGATGGAATATATGCTACAACGATGATATCCAAAGGAGGAGGAGGCATAATGATGAAGCAATGTTAATTCAAGAACAACAAATCCATAAAGAAACTTCATCAAACTTAAAGCCATTAAGACTCAAGAACTGTATTCTATGTGAGGATATTAGCTAGTTTTTATTTTCTCTCTAGTGCTAGAATGTAGGCAAATAGTTACTGATTTTACTTGAAGCTATTGGGAATCACACACACGTTTTTATACTTATGTTTTTAGGCGTTTTTCACAAAATACTTTTTATCACAAGTATGAGGACCTATCTGCAAAATTCTTTTTCCAAACAGTTTGTTTTTAGTATTAAAAACATTTTACAAAGTTTCATAATTTTCAGAGGTCAAATAAATATTTTACAAATATTTTAAGTTGAGTCAAAAATCAGTTTCAGCAATATATCAGAAAGCGGTCGACCGGACCGGTCGACCGCTCCTATGATCATTCAGAAAGCGGTCGACCGGACCGGTCGACCGCTCCTATGATCATTTGTCAGTGTTTTTCCAGAGAGGTCGTTGGTCGACCGGTGCGGTCGACCGAAATCTCGATTTTTCTATCGGTTGACCACGCCGGTCGACCGATGATGGTTCTGTTTGTTTTCCAGATTTTCTTAGTTGTTCGCGGTCGACCGAATTTTCGGTCGGTCGACCGAAGCATTTTTTCGGTCGACCGAAATTCCCTTCGGTCAACCGAAATTTGTCTTCGTTCAGCCGCGACTTTTTTCAAACGGTCATTTACCTGGAACACTATGCTTTCACTTAACAGTGTTTGGCACAGTCTGAGATAAGGGTCTGAAAAGGAGATTATTTTCTTAATTGGGAAGATTGGGTTTTGTTTTTAAATTGATTTAACTCTTCTATTTAAACCCCAGACTTCTTCTTCCTCAGCTGCCCTAACGTTTGTAAAAAACCAAAGAGAGACATTGTCTTCCTGAGAAAAATTTTCAAACCTGTTCTCTGTGTTTTTTCTCTGTGGTTTTGTGTGTGTTCACTTCCCAGCTTCAGTAACTCTTCTCTTTGCCATAGGGCCTGTGTAAAGAGAGAGTCTTTCATATTTTCTTCTGCTGTGTTGAGTGAGATCTTGTGTAGATCAACTGTGAGGGAGTGTGATCTGTTGAGATCAAATTGTGTAGTGAGAGATCGTGTGAGATCGCTGTGTAGACGAAGTTCCGGCTTCCAAACCGGGTGTGTAGTGGATTTCTCCTCGAGAGTGGGGAGCGGGGACGTAGGTCAGCGGGCCGAACCTCGTTAACACATCGCGCGTCAAGGATAACGATTCCTAACTCTATCTCTCTTAATTTGATTGCATTACTGTTTTGTGGTTTGCTTGTATTTAATTTTATTGCATATTAGAGCCTCTTGACCCTAATCACCCCCCCTCTAGGGTCCAACAGTAACGAGGCGAGCAAGAAGATGATTTGGTTAACTGGGTGCCTGGAAGAGTTGTGTCTGAAACGGGGGAATGAAATTCTTTATTGTGATAGCCAAAGTGCTATACACCTTATTAAGAATCCAGTATTTCATGTCAGAACGAAGCACATCGAGTTACGTTACCACTTCATACGCTCGATGATTGAGGACGTGAAGTTATAGTTGGAGAAGATTTTGGGGAGCCAAAATCCTACAGATATTTAGACTAAGACAGTCACCATTCAGAAACTGGAGTTGTGCGCAACTTCAGTTGGCCTTCATGCATAAGAGATGAGGGCGGAGTCACATAGGAGAAGATGTTTGTTAAGAGAGAGCTTGCTGATGGCGGTTTGATCTCCAAGTGGGAGATTGTTGGAAAATGGGTGTAGACCCAAACCTGTCATCGACTCCAGGTGAGGTCCAGTCGACGACGAGATTCAGACGAGGCGACGACACAACTCAGGCGAGGTCGAGCTCCCTCAGGCGAGGTGGGTTTCAGGCGAGATCGTCGAGGCGATAAGTGTTAGACCATTGAGGGGGGTGATTAGGGTCTTATGCTAATCTAATCCGATTTTATGCCAATTAAAACTAATTAATAAATTATTCTTACAAGATAGATATACAATATGATATAAGCAAAAATATGCAATATGAACAAAGAGATATATCCTAGCAAAGAAGTATATGATGAAATATATGCAAGGATATATAAACTAATGCAAGGGTGAAATAAACATAACCTAGATAGTTGGTTAAAATATGCAAAGAGCAATACACAATGGCGATATAAGATATGAACATAAAAATAAGTGCGCCAATGCAATCTCAAACAAATGATATGTTCACGGAGTTCGGTCCCCACAACCTACGTCTCTGCTTCTCACCTCGAGGAGATCTCTACTATCACAACCGGGTTTTCTACGCTTACCCGAATAACGTTTACACCTCACAATATCGGTTTTCAACGCTCACCGATCAACGTTCACACCTCACACTCTCACTCAGTTTTCTAGCTCACCGAAAACTTTACAACAACACACTTGGTTTTCTAGCTCACCGAAAACCTTACAATCTCATAATATAACAAAAGTTGTTCTCTACAATGGATGAGAACTCAATTAAGCACAACTCAATGTTACAATCCCACAACCCAAATTATAGTATGAATGTAAATACAATAAGCTCAAGTGGGTGTGTGTAAACAATGAGTGAAATCAAATCTAAACTCAATTAGCAAACTTACAATAATAAGAATACGAAAATCAATAATAAAATTGCTAGAGAAAAGAGTTAAAAAACTTCTCTATAAACATAAAGAGAGAATGATGAAATATTAAAGATGAACTCCTCAACAAAAACTCAAACTCTCAAATGCTTAAAAGCTTTTTAAACAAACACTAAACAAAACTTAAACCCTTGTTAAAGCTTTGTTAAAACATTTTCTTGGCTTATCATGAAAGATGAGATCAATGGGGTATTTATACCCACTCAAAACTTCAGCAAAAACCCAATCAAAACGATCAAAAAGCCCAAGAGAAAACAGCTTAGAAACTAGCCGTTGGAACCTAACGATCAGATCGACGGTCGACCGCGACGGTTGACCTCGAGCACCAAAAAGACAAAACTGAGCTCTGGAAAACAGACGGTCGACCGCGAAATTCTCTGGACTGCATACGGTCGACTGCCACGATCGACCGCAAGCC